AAATATAACATTGTATTATTTATTTATTAAATATTATATTACTTATTTATTCAATATTACATAATTTTTTTTTTAGAAAATATATAAAATGTGATTTTAATTATCATATGAGTAGTATTTATTTTGTTTCTATTTATTTATAATTTACATCAAAATCACTTTATTTAATCAATTTATTTTTTTATTTTTTTTTATTATTTATTATTATTTATTATTATTATTATTCTTGGCACTTATGTGTCAAGTTTAATTTTAAATTTACCATGAGTTTTTGGACGGAGGATAAAATCGTGATGAAACCTGCACGTCGAAGAATGTTCACAAATCTCGGAAAATGTGTGAAGTCCCCAGCTTGCATTAGGCAAACGTCAGCAAAGGGCAGTCTATGGCCTAAACCCTCGCCTGAGAGTGAGAACACTACTGAGAGGACACCCGTGCATTAGTAGCAGTAGAGCTTATGAAAGAGTTTATCCAGGGTAGTACTGTCATCTTACCTATTTCTGCCGCCAAGCAGAAATGTTAGCATTACTGTGTTCCGATTTTGAAGGGTAAGGGTGCAGGTGAAATTACAGGCACATGGAACTTGTCATGTCACATCAACTTATGTCTCAGGGTAACGGGCAGTGCCCCTCAGATCTTTGCGATTTAAAGCTCTGAGTGACACTGCAACTGTTATAAACAGGCGTCACTTAATATTATAAAAAAATGTGACGTATAAACGGGTTGATGATGATGATAATGATGAACTAACACAATACTATATTATTGTTTGAATTGGTGGGAAGACGCTCTGTCTGTTAACAAAACGGTCTTTAGTAAAACGCCACTACAGACATCCTAAGTAAGTATTGGGGTAATTTTGAACTCCAGATTTCTAATTTTGCACATTTAACCTAAATTTAATTACAAATAATTTAAAATAGTTGTGAAAAGACAAATACCATTTTTTTGTTATATTAAGTAGGTAATCTATGTTCTATATTAAGTTTTTATATATTAAGTAGAATAAATAACCAAACTTACCTGACTGCCAAGCAACTTAGCAGTCGGCAATCCATCATCAGCGACTTGTATGGAAGCGCGGGCATACTCAGGTCTCGCATCAAGACGAACCGGATGAGACAACTTCACATTGAAATGAACCCAATCAGGGGCCAACCCGGAACAGACACGAAGGGCTCGCATGACAAACAGGTTGCAGCATACATAAGCTGACACTGGGTTGCCTAAAAAACATTAGGGTCAAATCACTAAAGTTTAAGCCACAATGGGTACTCTCCAAGTTATAGAAATTATCAAAATGATTTGTTGAAAATTGCACTTACACCATTTACATAGAGTTCAATTTGCAGTTTATAAAGTAACTGTATAATTTGAGGTGTGATTGAGTTAATGTACAATTCGTCATTTTCATCGGCAAGGCTAAAAAAGGCGCATTGGCAGAATTCATCTATTTGACAGTGTTTTATGGAGACTGGAATTGGATTTTTTTTTTGTTTGAAAATTAATAATATAAATTATCAATTAATCATATTATGACTCTGCCAATGCGGCCTTTTCAGGCCCCCAGCACGCCTCCTGAATTTCTCTTATTATAAATTGAGCATAGACGGGACTGTAACATTTTGGACTGTAGCATCCCTTACTAGCAAACTTCATTGCCAGAGGGCTTGCCAGAACGTATCGCCATGGACTACACGCACCCAATGACGCCTTTCGCCTACTAAGACTGTTCAACTAAGTTACACACGAATTTTCAAAATTATTATTATTAATAACAAAATTACCTGGTAATGCAAATATGAACTTAGTTTTGCCAGCAAAGACGCAGGTGGCAAAGGTACTTGGTTTGCCCGGCTTCATACGTACACGTCCAAAATGCAAAGTTGCACCAAAGTCCTACAAATATTAAAAAAACATAATGCATCACTTATTGCCTACTTAACAGGGAAACTTATTTATTACCTACATTGGTAGCGAATAGGTCACTGGGGCTGTAATTTCAAATTTTTACATAAAAACATTTAATTTTTATCTTGAAAGTACAGGGTAATTGTCCAGGGAAGTTCTGCCGCCAAGCAGTAATGTGAGCTTTACTGCGTTTCGATTTTGAAGGGTGTGACGATGCGGCATCTTTCATCGCCATGTCACCTTTTTATCATCCTTTTCTCTGGTTCCTGGCCACTTACTTTTGAAAGTTTGAATCATTCTCCAATCATTTTTCTTCGCCATTCTTACTTTGCTCCGTTCGCTCCGTTCGCTCCGTCCGCAATTTCAAAATTTAACTCAACTTCTAATAGTATGATAGTGAGAAACATGATATAAATGTAAAACTAATTACCTCTTCATACAAAAATTGTGCAAATTGGAGGTGTAAAAGTTTAAAAATTTATAATTTTTCTAGTTCAATCAAGGAGTACAATGCATATTTTATATTTTTTATGTACTTACCTTTACCAACACAGGTTTTAACAAATCTCTTTCTCCCATAGACACTCCACCAGTGCAGATTAAAATATCAGCTTGCTTTAATGCATTGCTAACTGCGGCAACAAGAGCGCTGGGTTCGTCACGTGCGATGCCACAATTTATACTTTGAAAGCCGTGTTCCCTGGAAAACAATATTTTTGTACGAATAAACAATCTAGGTCCTAGTGATACTCCTTGTGGTACGCCGTGACTAAGTTTGTTATAAATGTAGATAAAAAAGCACAAAACTAATCACAATACTGTTGTACAAACGTTCATTAAATAAATAAATAAATAAATAACGCACACACTCAACATAGCCCCGCACTAGGGAAACCCTGTGTCGCGGGTGCCATGGACACACACATAGACAACTACAAATTACATCCAAACTCACGAGAGATATAATTGTAGGCCATACAACTATTTCTCTCGGCCCGGGAATCGAACCTGGGACCTCTGCGTGGCAGTCCGGCATGGTAACCGTTCGGCCACGGAGGCAGTCATTCATTATAATAAATATATATTGCGGCTGTGTCTTGCGATTGCGACAAATGGAAAGGGTAAAATATGATCGGTACTATCAAAAGCCTTAATAAAGTTTTCGTCAGTAACAGGGTACGTACTTGAGTAAGACTTTCAGCATTATTCTGTTGGAATCCCTTATATGAGCAGGTCTTAAATGTAAATCAGATGGCTCTTGCAGCTCGTTTCCAGTTGAGAGTAATGCAATCTGAAAATATACACATTTGATTTAATGGTTATTAAAGCCATGCAGAAGATTACATCAAACAATATCCCGGCAATTCTAAATAAAATCACAATTTAAATAACTTAAAACCAACAAACGATCAAGGTTTCAAACCATCGATTGTGTGAATTTGGTATTAGTACTACTACCCACCTTTAAAAGTTGCGTATTATTTTTATGGGCAACACATACATACCTTGGGATGAGCTTTGACAGTAATATTTTGATATCCAGCGCCTGCCAGCACTCCTATCTGTCCAGCATCCAGGACATCACCTGCAAAAATGTCGGACATTTTTTGTGCCAATCTATTTTACTTCAGACAAAAACTATATTCTGGGTCCTGCATGAGTAACGTAAGTCTCACATAAACGTTGAAACCGTTACCTTTATCAGCAAGAGTAGATCCCATGGGTATATCAAAACCAATAGGTCTGACATCTTGATTAGGTTGTGGAGCAACCATTATCTCCACGTCTATTTCTGTTTGCCCATCTTCCGACGCTGAGATCAGTTTGGTGTCTTCTACCTAAAATATTCCCCACTAATTACAATAAAGTAGGTCTAGCAAAAAGTCTGATATTAACAGGACAATTATAAACAAACAAGAATGAACGACTTGTGTAAAAATTTAGAACTAAACTAAAACTAAACTATCAGTTCAAAAGTTGAGTTGCAATAACAACATTTCCTGTGATTTGAGTTAGTGTGTATGAAATTTCCCATTAACGTCTGTTACCTGAACAACACAATCCGCACCAGATGGCAAAGAAGCTCCAGTATTGATCCTAGCACACTCCCCACTCATAAGAGGCTGAGTGGGAGCATCGCCGGCCGTCAACGCCGAGCGCACGCGCCGAATGCCAGCACCATCTAAACTTAGACATGCGTAGCCTGGAAATAAATTGTATAAGTCTATGACTAAACTGTTTGATGCGGACATGGCGGTCATTAGACAAATATTAAGTAGGATCTGGTTCCAACGGACTACTACAACGAATTTAATGCAACTGGGCTTAAAAGATTTTTATTGATTAACTAATTTCATTTTAAACATTCCACTTTAGCAAGCTACTGAATATACATATACTTCATATTTTAGTTTATTTACAATGATAACAGCTTAAGTGCAAAGTTATTAATGAGCGTACTAGTATATTATTTATTTTATTTATATTGATAACAGTTGAAATGCAAGGTATTAAAAAAATACAAAGCGATTATTCTAACTACTCCCAGATAAAACATTGTACAAAGCTGGAACAACATCAATAACAATAGAATATATTATGTGTACCATTCTGAGTAAAAATAGATAGCAGTGTATTGCATGTCTAATTCACCAGGCATAATTGAATAAATTACATGGTTATTGAACTAGTTTCTACTTATCCAATACATAGAAAAGTGTGTTGTTTTCACATGAATCTCTATATTAGTTTATATTAAGTTACAAAGACAAGATTCTGACAGCACAATACACAAAAACATATATAAAAAAATCTTTTCAATCATAATTTACTATTTGAATGCAATGCGGCGTGAGTTTTCGTAGGTAGGTACTTAAATTATTGCGTTAAGTCCATTGACTTTTTGTAAGTCAATGGTTAAGTCACAAGTTTTAAATACAATATTCTGTTCACTAACCGTCTTTAACAGAAGCTGGAAATGGTGGCATTGGTTCTTTAGCAAATACAGTTTGTGCAACTACTCTTCCTAATCCATCTTCAATAGGCACTATCTCCAACTGTTCTGTACATTGCGTCATTACATCATCAACTATCTTGAAAGCGTCAGTCATTTCTAACATTGGATAAGGAGATTCTCTAGGTCTAAATGCTACTTTACTTATATCAACATTACTGCTAATACAATGATGAGAACAACCAAACTGCATGGTATCATGTATGGATTTTACTTCAGCTAATTCATTCTTTATTAGAGATATTGCATGAGATAACACTGGTCGAACTACTTCTATTAGTTCTTTTACAGCTTTCTTACTGCCTGGGAAATTGATTATAAAGGTTTGACCTCGTACACCAGCAATGGAACGCGACAGCATAGCCATAGGAGTTTGCTTTAGACTTTCCAATGTCAAAGCTATAGGTATTGCTGGTACTTCTCTGTGTATAACTGCTTTTGTGGCCTCTGGAGTTACATCTCTAATACCTAGTCCTGTACCTCCAGTAGTAAGGACTAAATCAACATTAGCCTCATCACAGAAATATTTCAGTTCCTTTTCTATAATTTCCTTTTCATCTGGTATGATGATTGTATGAAGATTCGCATTAGGGAATAGTTCTTTAGCAAATTTTGCTAATGTTGGACCTGATGTGTCTTTAGAATGGTCTTTGAAACATGTATCACTGACTGTGACAACTGCTACTGCTTTCACCATTTTACACTGAAATGTAAGAAAAATTAGTTTTTCAGTGAATTAAAGACAAATGTTACAACCATTAAACATATAACTTTAAAATAAGTTTGCTCTCTATGAAATTGTCCTATTTTTAGAGAATAAAATATTATGTATTGATTTTTAGCCTGAACTTTATTAAGATCTTATAGGTAAATATATATACATTATGTACAGCACAATTTCTAAAATTTATAAGTATATTAAGTGGACAGGATGGTTATGCTTTGGTTTTCATATGAATCCTCCATTTTGCTATGGATGCAATCGTAAATATATCTTTCAGTCAGTGTTTTAAGACTCTAAATGTCTCCACCAGGCTCGACTAATAGAGGATATGCGGAAGCAGTGCTCTGTGCACAATTCTGGATTGGGAAATTTGATAGTTAGATTATAACAAACTAGTGGAGTAATTTCACAAAAAAGAATTGAATATCAATTCAATAAAAATTTAATTAATACAGTGAATAGCGACATCTCTCGCCAGGACTGGTAGCTGTAAAGGTACTAACTGGGTGATAAATCTTTCATAGATTTCTCATAGATGGCGCTACGACTAAAAAGTCGTTGAAAAACCAAATACAAAGGCACGATGCAAGCACATAGAAAAATTCGTGAGGTCCGTTGGTTCGTTCCGTGGCTTAGTAGGTATAGCGTCTGTATGCAAGAAGACGTCAGTTCTAATCCGACCGGATCGAAGGAATTTTTTCTAAGTGTTCGATCTTTGATTAATAATTATAACAAACTAGTGGAGTAATTTCACAAAAAAGAATTGAATATCAATTCAATAAAAATTTAATTGATAGTTAGCTGTTAATTTTCCCAGTTTCTTAAATTTATTAATTCCGTTTGGGTAATGCATTTTCCAGAAATATATTCAAGAAGAATGAGCAATTACAAAAGGGATTTGGGCACAGTTTTATGTGCTGCATGAATAATTTGTATTTTTTTAAATAATGTACTATTATGATGAGTTCTGATACTTTTTGATTTTAGGTAAGATATTTTAAAGAAAATCATAGATTTCACGTCTCGCACATCACTAAACTGTAGACTGTTTCAGTCCATTATTATGCCCATTATTCCAAAAATTTTGATTAAATATGTGCAACTTCATAAATAACAGCTCACCATTGTTATACGATTTATCAGGTGCTTCGTTTATTAACGTGATTATTTGTCCAGGTTAAAACTATTTTTTTTTAAATTCCTTCATACCAAACTGATTTATGTTTAAATAATAAGATTAACTTTGAATACTTTGATATTAATTTCATAGTATGCATTTGGTGTGGCTTTTGGTCAAATTTATTTGCTAGTCCTTGAAAATATTACAACATATTTTTGTTTTGGCCGCTCTCCATAGCTCTGAAGTTTTATAAAATGGGACGAATCCAGCCGAATCGAAGGAATTTTTCTCAGTGTTCGAACTTTGTAATAATAATTATAACAAACTATAATGAAATAATTTCACAAAAAAATAATGATTAACATGGTAGTAAAACATTGTGATATTCAATAAACTTCATATTACAATTTTTTAGCACTTAATTTCTTTGTGATTTTTCTACTAGACGTCACCAAAAAATGAAACACTTTCGTTAAAGTAAATATCTCTCATTTTCA